TGTTATATATGTAGTAACAGATGTGTTATAGATGTAGTAACAGATGTGTTATGGATGTAGTAACAGATGTGTTATAGATGTAGTAACATATTTGTTATATATAGAGTAACAGATGTAGTAACACGTGTTATATATGTATTAACAGATGTTTTATCATCAACCTGGGACTACATCTTCTTTTCTAAGCTTTAAGTGTGGTTCTGGTTTCTTCTTCAGTGGTGTACCTCTGTTGCTCCTGGGACATCCTCAGGAATCTGATGGTCCAATTCTGGAAGGACGGGGTGGAGTTGAAGGACTACGTCTTCTTCTTCATTGATCTTTTTGCTGAGGGTCTGGGGGGGCGGGGCCCCGTCCGGCCGTGGTTCAGAGGAGACCAGGAAGACTTCGCCGCCCGCCACGCTTTCAGGGTGACACTTTTTATTTACTATTATTATTTATTTATTTATTTATTGGGGCCCGAGCAACCGACGTCAGGCCGCGAAGGCCCTATTGAAATTTGAATACACATAGTACATCGGGCGCATATTTGGGGGACTTGCCATACTCGAAAACTCACCAAATTTTGCACACTTGTCAGGCCTGGTGAATTTAGCCATCTGATATAGGTTGCATATTTGTGTGTAAAAAAATGGCTCTCTAGCGCCCCCTACCAGTTGGACCGGTGGTGCCCCTCGGCCAGTATGTCCGATTTACTTGAAATTCAACACACATGTCCAGATCCGCTAGCTCTACAAAAAAGCCTCTCAGACCCCTAAGCTCCGCCAACCTAGATTTTCCACCATTTTGAATTTTGTGAAAAACACATTTTTGCAAACTCCTCCTACACGCAGATTCCGATTGACACCAAATTTGCTCTGAATCATTATTGGATCTACATCATCAAAAATTATTAAAAGCTTTTGATATCTCTTTCTGTTTACAAGCTATGGACCAATAAACGTCTTAGAGGCGTGGCTTATATATCAATACACATATCTTATCAACCATTTGTCCTAAAATCACCAAATTTGCAGCATATGTGCCCATCGCATCCTGTAACATACCCTGACATTTTAATTTCATTCAGCCACTAGGGGGCGCTACAGTAAACCTGCCATGTCGTGCTTTTTTGTCACTTTTCGCAGTTTTCACCCTTTGTACTTTAACGGACTCCTCTTACAGAATTAATGGGATCACCCTCAAATTTGGTCAGGATGCTCTTCAGACCTTTGTCATGAAAAGTGATCAAAGTTTTCATGGAAGAACCTTGACGTGGTGTGGCGGCTATTTTGCCTCATTCGGCATGAACAATAAAGTTGTTATAACTCCAAGGTACATTATTCAATCTGCAAAAAAATTACATACGCATGATGCTACTTCAAGCCTGAGCATACATCAATGCCAACATATTCAATAACTCATAGCGCCACCTACTGGCAAAAGGAAATGTCACATTTTATACTTTTATTTACTCCTCCTAGACAGGTGACCTGATGAGTCTCAAATTTGGTAAGGATAGCCTTAACACATTGATGATGCTTCATCATGAATATTGTTAGTTTTCGTTGAATGCTGTTGCCGTGGCAACGCATCATTCGCCATGAAAAACACGCTGATGGTTGAGTGGCTTTGGATACTCATAAAGTCATGGAACTTTGTACATGTGTCGTAAGTGATGGGAAGACATATTTTGTATGGGTTTTTGGCTTGGTTGTTGTAAATTGTCTCCATAGCGCCCCCTACAATATTTCAAAACAGCAGCCCCAGCGCTACATTTCAGCTACATGTATGAAACTTGGTAGGCACATGTATCCTATGGAGACTTCTCTCGGGACCATGCTCCAAACCATACTGCAAGTTGGCCATTTTGATTTATGTGTGAATTTTCCCTTGATATTGGACAATTTATAGGTGCTATACTTTAACGAACTCCTCCTAGGGACTTTGTCTGATCCTCTTCAAATTTTGTCAGTATAATCTCAAGACAGTTGTGATTAAAAGTTATCTAAAGCTTTACGTTTGACGGAATGGCTTAGCCGTAGCGGGCGGCTACTTTACGTGATTCCCCATCAAAGAAGCTGATGTAACTCAGCTGGAGTTGTTCCAAACGGTCCCAAACTTCCCATGCTTGATAACACTCATGGCCTGAGGACGTCTACAAGCTAATGTCCACTAATACTCACAGCGCCACCTGCTGGCGAAAGAAAATCTGCGTTTTCTGACAAACAGCATCCGATTTACATGACTTCTACACGATGTGGTTTCCACTTGATATGGAGCAACATAATGCATGTTCGGGCGTGTTCTGTAGTACCACACAGCTGATAGAGGAAGCCGTGCACTATTTGCAATGCATCGTTTCCAGCGTCAAGCGGTCCATGCAAGGAAAAAGCGTCGGACTTGCGGACGCGTCGGACTTGCGGACGCGTCAGACTTGCGGACGCGTTGTCCAACGGTCGCGGACGTTCTCGCCTCCGCAGGCCGGAGTCCCGCCGGCCCATGACGTACGGGAGTATGCGAGGGCCCGTTCATCGCTGCTCGCAGCTTTAATTGTTATTATTTATTATTTGTATTTCTCATTAGTATTGTTGTTTTTGTATTTTTGTTAATGTTTTTTGATGATACAATAGTTTGAGGTATGATATGTAACCATGGTCTTCTGAATAATAGTTAAAATAAATATATTGTTAAGTGGAAGTCAATGAAACACAAATTCAAATGATCGGATTTTGTCATAAATCTGGCTATTGATTGTTCTTAATGTTTCTCTACCTGTCTGTCTCTCTACCTGTCTCTCTCTCTACCTGTCTCTCTCTCTCTCTACCTGTCTGTCTCTCTCTCTATCTGTCTGTCTATCTACCGGTCTGTCTCTCTATCTTTTAATCTCTCTACCTGTCTGTCCCTCTTCCTGTATGTCTGACAGAGTGTGAAGGTGTTAACCTACCTGGAGCCTCAGAATCCAGAATATCTTCAGTTTGTTCAAACTCTGAAGAACGACGCAAAGAAAATGTTCAACTACACGATCAAAGACTCTCTGGTACAAAACACACCATATATGTATTTTATATATTTATATATATATATATATATATATAAATATATATGTATATACTGTATGTACAGATACATATACATATACATACCTGATGTCTCTCTCTCTGTCAGTATAACCTCATCGCTGCAGGATTCCATGATGGTGTCATGATGTACTCTCAGGCCCTGAACGAGACACTGAGTGATCAGAGACCAGGACCAGGAGAGGTCCGGAGGCCCAGAGGAGACGTGGTGACCAGGAGGATGTGGAACAGAACCTTCTCAGGTGAGGACAGATGTTAGATCTTTATTTCTATTTCTATCTGAGTCACATGGGAACCTGCAGCTCTGTGGTCGACCAATCACAGCGCAGAGCTGGAAGAGAACAGCCGGGAGGTAAGACCTGTCCAGGTGGTGATTGGGGGACATGAAACTATATGTTTATGTCTGTTAGTGGACTGTAGTGGGGTGGGGGGGGGGCGTGTGGGCTGGTTGTAGTGGACTTATGGGGACTGTGGTGGACTGGGGGGGCTGTGGAGGTTGTAGTGGACGGTGGAGGCTGTAGGGGACTCGGGGGGGGCTGTAGTGGACTGTGGGGGGCAATGGGGCCCTGCCACAGTGAGAACCGGGGTCTCAGCAGTGTTTGGTAAATTTAGGGACTCACCGGCCAATCAGAGAGCTCGGTGGTTTTCTTGTCCTGGTTGGTGGTTTGAGTCCCAGACATCCGGTCATCATGTTCCCAGCTGGTCTAGTATATTCACACACACTCTCTCACACACACACACACACACACTCTCACACACAGCCGTGTGTGAGAACAACAGAACTCTCGTTCCCATGGTGACCTCACAGAGCACGGAGGCTCCTGATTGGTCAGTCAGGTCTCATTAAGTTCATTATTATTGTTGTGACATGGTGATGATTTAAAGTCCTCTGGTTCAGATAGTCGACTCTGTGAATCCTGAACCAGGAGCTGTGAGTCTGGACCAGAACTGATCTGTAAAAACATAAATATTTATATTTTCAATAGTGCTGTTCAAGTTAACGTGTTATTATCACGTTAACGCCTTAATTAATTAACGCCGACAATTATTTTATCTCGCGTTAACGCAGTTTTTTTTTATTATTATGCGGACATTTTTACACCGGCAGCGAGCAGCTGTTTGTACAACAACTGTTTGTGTGGCGTCTCTTCCTGCTGCTGCTGCCGTTACTGCCACGGTACAGACTACAGGTTCCATGCTTCACCTACACTCCCCTGGGTCCTAAGTCCCTCCATGTACAGCTTCTTATCACCCTCTATGTACCAACGTACATTTATAACAAATACCACACATATTACGGTAATCAGCGATGCACATGTGTCTGACCTAAATACCAAAAAAGCAAAAAATTATTGTTTTAGAGTTTTTAAAGTGTTTTGTTTGTAATATGTATCATTTTATACTGAGAATTTAACAAACATAAAAACATGACGAAGATAGGTTTGCAGTTTTCAAGAAGTATATTTAAATATCATCTCTTACACACATGAAGATAAAGTTGTGAACACCGGCTGAATATCTATGATCAGAATCATTATAACTGTGTTATAACTGCTACTGTGTAAAGGGAATACTGCTGCTAACAAGAACCTGATGTGTTTAAATTGTTTACACCAAATGTTATTGACCTTTAGTTCATATAGCAGTACTTTAAATTAAAAGTGCACAATACACTACTTTTGAATTCATTGTTGAATTTTGCGCATAACAATGAGATTAATCGCGATTAAAAATTGTAAATGTTGCTCAGCACTCATTTTCAAATAACATAAATATGAAACCTCCTGAATCCTTAATCCTCAATCCTCAATCTTGAATCCTGGATCTGGTCCATGTCTAAACCTGATCCCCAGACGTAGTGGTCCATGTCTAAACCTGATCCCCAGACGTAGTGGTCCGTGTCCAAACCTGATCCCCAGACGTAGTTTCATTGGTCTCAGTGGACCCACATCACTTGACTCCCCAGCTCACAAATCAAATGGTGTGGAGCTTCACTTCTTATTGTGCAGGAAATAGTTTAGTTTCCTGCAGCAGGAAATATACATCAACACCCTGACATCACCAGTGTCAACGGTCAGAGTGCAGCGATGAATCAGCAAAAACTAAAAGCCAAATATAACAAACAATAAGAAAAGAACAGTGAGACCCTCACTGCGACACAAATATACAATTATTATTGATATACAATATCTAACACATATTATACAATGGTAAACAGTAAATGGAACATTAGATTAGATTTATTAATCCCAGTGGGGAAACTCATACGCCACCCAAAACTCATACAGACGACAATAGACACGGTCCACAGTGCACAACAGACATTACAAAGAATAGATAAAGCCAGACAATGCCATATGCAACATGATCGACATCAGAAAGATAAAAACCTCTAAAGGTGGTCATTAAAAAATCAAACTGCTGCTGGAACGAAAGACCTTCTGAGAGGTTCAGTAGAACACTGAGGCGTCCTGAGTCTCTCACTCAATGAGCTTCTGAGAGGTTCAGTAGAACACTGAGGCGTCCTGAGTCTCACTCAATGAGCTTCTGAGAGGTTCAGTAGAACACTGAGGTGTCCTGAGTCTCTCACTGAATGAGCTTCTTAGTGGTTCAGTAGAACACTGAGGCGTCCTGAGTCTCTCGAATGAGCTTCTTAGTGGTTCAGTAGAACACTGAGGCGTCCTGAGTC